GGCAGATTTCTCAAAAGTGCCCTTCTTAGCAACCTAAGCAAAGAAGTAATGGTTTCCTAAATCCTACAGCATGATATGACCACTTCCTAAAGAAATGGAAGATACAATCCTTAGAATTAAAAACAAAACGCAATTACTTTTCCTGCTTTCAAGATCATCATATGCTAGAATAATAAAGGCAGGTGTGTGTTAGTGGCTCAGTCGTGTCCGATTCTTTACGACCCCATGGCCCTAATTTGCATTTCTCTAACTGTTGACACTGGACTTCCCTGGTGGCTCAGTGGTAAGAATATGCCTGCAATGCAGGAGACACGGGAGACTAAAGTTCGATCTCTGGGTCAGGAAGATACCCAGAGAAGGAAGTGGCAACCACTTCAGTATTCTTGCCTGGAAAATTCCATGGACAGAGGAGCCTGGCGGGCTACAGCCCGTGGGGTCACAAAGAGTCAGACACAACTGGGCACCACACACAGTCATGTACTGAAAAGAGCTGTTCTCACTTGTGACTTTCCTGTTTACTTTATTGATGGTTTCTTTCAATAAACAAAAGTTGTTGATATGAATGTTGCCAAACATCAATCTTTTCCTCTATGGTCTGACCTACTACGATTTGTTTAAGAATCTCTTCCCTCTAACAGAGTAACAGAACTAGTACCCTACACTGTCTTCTGAAAGTTTCACAGTTCTGCCCTCTATTTGTAAGCCTCTGATTTTGGTGAATGATATGAATTAGACAAGGGCCACAGTCACAGCCAAACAATTACTAGACACCAAATGTGCCCCAAGTGAACTAGTGGTAGGTGTTAATCACTACTTTATTGAGGTTTATACTGATCTCTCATTGAGGCAAACAAAAAAATGGACATTGTCAACAGGAAAACTTGGAAGGTTTTAGCAAATTAGTCAGAATATGATCCCCAGCCACTATATTTCAGACAGAATCCTTAAAAATACCCCAAAAGGGAGATGGGGGGGAGGGGACATAGGCATACCTATGGCTGATTCATGTTGATGTTTGGCAGAAACCTACACAATTCCGTAAAGCAATTATCAGTCAATTAAAAAAGAAATGTTTTAAAAAATACCCCCAAAAACTCAAGGTCGTCTTATTCTTAAAAACAAAAAAGAAAAAGAAAGAAACAGCAAGAGAGAGTTAAGCATTGGGGAAAGTGTGGGAAAATACGAATTCTCAATAGTATTGGCTGGCATATAAACCTTTACAACCTTTCTAGAGGGTCATTTTACAATTGATAGATCCGAAACCTTCAAATGTGTATCTTCTCTGAGCTACCAATGACTATAGAATTCACCTTAAAGAAATAACTGGACAAAATACATGGTTAAGGATATGTTAAGGATATGTACCATGGACATCTCTGCAACAGAAAGAACCGGGAGCAACCCAATACCCAGTGACAGGCACTGGTTAAAGATGAAGCTGTTACAGCACGCCCACCCTGCAATTCTGTGCAGACTACAGAGCTGCACTGACATGGGGAAAGGTTCACAGTATTCTAGGAACTTACAAAAACAGTTAACAAAATGCACACCTAACATTCCTTTACTCATACATATTTATTGAGTGCCTCTTTATGCCAGGTACCAAGTGAGTTCTGCTTAAAGAGAAAGAGGTCTGTCCCTGCCTCCTTGCAGCATCCAGGCCCGGGGAGGAGACAAACCAGGTATGCGTCTTCCAGCTGACCGGGCTGGGACACTAAAGGCACACACACTTCGAAAGCAAAGCCAAGTTACAGGTGGAGATGTGTAATACAGCCAGCAGTCTCATGAGCCAGGAGTACACACGCCCCAGCGCCCCGGGCCAGCCAGGGGTGAGCAGTGGGAGACGGGGAGCGGTGAGGCCGTGCTGACCATCCAGCTCCCACGACAGTGCTCCACGAGGAGTCCAGGAAACGCAGCCAATCCTGGAAGGCCGTGCACTAGAAAACACACCTGAGACCGATAGCAGAACCAGAGCAACACAATTCCAACAAACAGCCTCCCCCACTGCCAGTTCAAGATGAACACTGACTGGGATCACAGATGAGTCGCTGAGCCAATAACTGGTCTCCCAACAGTGACCTCCTGCTATCTGAGTCTAACAAACAGCAGTGAAGCCTCCCAAGAAATCTCCCATGGTTCACGTCAACCTCAAAGGATTCTGACAAGACATGTTCATTTATTTCAAACTTATGCACCAAAATCAGTCATTAGCAGGGTCAATAATTATGAAAAGAAAATGTTTAACCTGAGAGCAGAAAAATGTCAGACATCACCTCAACCAAGAGGTCAAAGGCAACGTTCACCACTGATAAGACACCCTGACATCACATGCACTCCAGTGTGAGGCACTGGTGGCAAACATCACCACTGGGGTATTCTTGCCCAAAACACCTGACCCTCGACTTAATCCTGAAAGAAGAGGACACAAATTCAAACTCACTAACAGTCTACAAAAGAACTGACCAGTACTCTTCAGAAGCGCCAGAGAACTGATGCTTTCAAACTGTGGGGTTGGAGAAGACTCTTGAGAGTCCCTTGGAGAGTAAGGAGATCAAACCAGTCCATCCTAAAGGAAATCAGTCCTGAATATGCATTGGACAGACTAATGCTGAAGCTGAAACACCAACACTTTGACTGCCTGATACAAAGAGCCAACCCATTGGAAAAGACCCTGATGCTGGGAAAGACTGAAGGCAGGAGGAGAAGGGGACAACAGAGGATGAGATGGATGGATGGCATCACTGACTCAAGGGACATGAGTTTGAGCAAACTCCGGAAGATAATGAAGGACAAGGAAGCCTGGCCTGCTGCAGTCCCTGAGGTCACAAAGAGTCAGACACAACTTATCGACTGAACACCACCACCACCACCACTCTTCAGAAGTATCAAAGCCAAAGAATATAAACCTAAAAGGAACTGTCACAGATTGGAAGAGACTGCGGAGACATGATCAGTTCAGTTCAGTTTCGTCGCACAGTCGTGTCCGACTCTTTGACCCCATGGACTGCAGCACATCAGGCCTCCCTGTCCATCACCAACTCCAGGAGTTTATTCAAACTCATGTCCATTGAGTCAGTGATGCCATCCAACCTCTGTTGTCTCCTTCTCCTCCCACCTTCAATCTTTCCCAGCATTAGGGTCTTTTAAAATGAGTCAGCTCTTCACATCAGGTGGCCAGAGTATTGGAGTTTCAGCTTCAGCATCAGTCCTTTCGAGGAATTCAGGACTGATTTCCTTTAGGATGGACTGGTTGGATCTCCTTGCAGGAGACAGGGTAACTATGTGCAAAGGAGGTCCCAGACTGGATCCTGGACCAGGAAAAGGACATCAGAGCTAAAACTCAAATACTGTCTCAAAAGCTTGGTTTCGATAACTATGCTCTGGTTACATAAGATGTTAACATCAGGGACCTGGCTAGAAGGTTATAGAACTCTCTGAACTATTTTTGAAATGGTTCTGTAATTCCAAAATTATTTCAAAGTAAAAAGGGTTTAAAAATTATTTAAGATGAGAGATAAAAATGTACAGGGATCACCCATTAACTCTAACATAAAAATATACTACCTCTTCCAATAACTGTGCTAAAAAAAAAAAAGCAATTACAAATAAGGCTTCAACCAGAATAAATGACAATTATTCAATAAAAATCCATGAATGGGATAATCTAGAGAGCAGTGTAACTTTCCAGATAAATGACATACCTTATTTTCCCCTTTACTTTTTTAATTCAACTTAGATTTTTTTTAACATCTATTATAAGCACAAAAACTGTGTTTGGGCCTGACAAGATTTTGATATATAAGAAAAGAACATTTTAGTACACAAACAGAAAAGCATAGAAAAACAACACTGGACGTAACTTTTTTTTTTCCTGGACATAACTTTTTACTCCCAGACAATCCAGCAGTCAGTCTGGACACCCTTTTCGGTGTGAATGTTGGTAAGACTGGGGGCTCTCACAGCTGAAGTGTATCCCTTTCAATAGTAAGTGTCTCTGACCACTAGAATCATCTTCAACAATTACCCCTGAAAATGCCAAAATGACTCTAGAAATACTCCATGTCTAGTCCTTTTTATTTTCACCTAATCAGATGATGTTGGTGCATTACTGTTTGTAATGAGTACAAGAGGAAAGGTGAGGCTGATGAAACCTGCACAGGTTTACTTGCTCTCCTCTTACAAGAGATCAAAGGCAACATCACGTGAGACCAGGTTCCCAAAGTGTGGTCTCCAAGTCAGGAGTGTCAACATCAGCCAGGACCTGTCGGAAGTAAGAATTCCCAGCACACCTGCTGAATCAGAGCCCCTGGGTGATGCCCAGCATCCATGTTTTTATAAGCCCCCCCTCCAGGTGACTCCGATGCACCTTAAATTTGAGAAATACTGATGCTTCAAAGAGCAGAAAGATTGGCCTGTAAACCAGGAGGGCTGATTCTAATCCTTCTTCTGCCACTAATTTCTGAGACGGATTTGTCACTTAGCTTCTGTGGGGTTCAGCCTCCTCATCAGACAATGAGGGAATGAAATAGATCGCTTCCACAGTCCTTATGCCCTCTAAAATGTGACAACTCTATGAGGCCCAAAAGTGAAAAAAAGATCCACAGCATCTCAATATTTCTTTTTCATCAAAAAGAAACAAAAGTTCTTCCTTTCATCAACTGGTCTCTGAGTCATATTTTTCATTATTTTAAATAAAGCTGCATAAACTTTGCTTAAATGAAAGTCATATAAACTCTGATTTTACAGTTTTCTATTTGTTCTCTATCAAGTCTGTTTTGGAGGACTTCCATATAATAACAAAAGTTCCAAGAAACCCTCACTACAGACTGAGTTGTAACTTCCGCCCCCCCAACCCCTACACCAAATTCATAGTTTGAAGCCCTGATGCCCAATGTGACAGTATTTAGAGATGGGGCCTTTGGGAGGTAGGCTTAGTAAGGTCATGAAGGCGAGGCTCCCAAGACGGGACTGGTGTCCTCCCAAGAGGAAGAAAGGCCAGCATGCGTTCGCTCTGCCACATGAGAACGGAGCAGGAAGGTGACCACGTGCAAGCCAGGGAGCGCCCTCGGCAGGAATCGGCACCTGGATCTCGGACTTCTCAGCCCCCAGAACCCTGACAAACAAATGTCCGCTGGCTCGCCCGCCAGGCCACGGTGTCTGTTACAGCAGCACAAGCCAACAAGGCACTCCAAGTCTCTGGTGTGGGACTCACACACCACCTTACAGTTCAGAAGAAGGGTGCTCCGCGACCTCTCATAATGAGTGTGAACAGATCGGAGGAAGCATTTAGCAAGCATGAATAAAAGTAAGTTTTGTTTCCTAGGCCTTTGGCCTAAGCTATACCAAGGTAAATATAAACTCTGTCTTTATTTTTCCTACATCTGCCATTTATATCAGACACTGACACATGCTTGGCTGTGTCCTGATCCAAGCTTCTATCAGCCTGATCCCAAGTGACCCCGGACCTTGGTATGATAACCCCACTATTCCTTCAGAGACCAAGAATATTATTCCTCCTTTTGTGTATTTAAAATTATTGTGACCTTATGTCAGCAATATGTATGTTTTCTGTTTCAATAAGCTCTATGAAACTCAAAACCAAAATCATAATGCCTATTATTATCTCTTGCTATTCCACTAAACAATATAAGGATTCAAGGAGGGTTGTAATTACCAAAGGTCTAAGCAAATGTTGTACAAGTGGGACATTATGCAATAATTCTTTCCTGGAAGAAGGAAATTAATTAGGAAAATGAAAAATTGTTGATTGGAAGACTCTTTTGTGCTGTATTTCATTTTAAAAAAGTACACTTTAAGTTTCAGTTTGGGAACATAAGAATGTTCTGGAGGCAAATGGTGATGATGGCTACACAATGTAAACGTACTTAATGTCACTGAACTGTACACTTAAAATGGTTAAAATGATAAATAATATATTATGTATATATCACATTACCACCAAAAATTGGTATACTGATAAATTACACTGGGCTTCCCAGGTAGCTCAGATGGTAAAGAATAGACCTGGGTTCAATCCCTGGGTCAGGAAGATCCCCTGGAGAAGGGAATGGCAACTCACTCCAGAATTCTTGCCTAGAGAATCCCAGAGGGGCCTGGCAGACTACAGTCCATGGGGTCACAAGAGTTGGACACGACTGTGACTAACACACACAGTAAATTACGATACCTTTTAAGATTTATATGTAAAACAGACTCATTTCAAGCTAAGTGCCACTCTCAATTCTTAAAATATCCGTGTAATAAACATTCTTGAGAAACACAAAATAAAAAAATGTATCGGTCTCAGGTTATTTCCATTATGACACGGCTTTAATTTATCCTCCTATTCGTGGATTTATAAACCGGGATTCTTCTCACAATCTGTGATACCTGAGGAACAGATCTCTTCTTTGAGGGGCTGTGAGAGAGGGAGGGAGAATCAGATTAGAAGAGTCTGTTTTATAACGGCTAGAGAGCTCTCCTCTAGTAAAGCCTCATTAGAATGAATGCTGGGGGAAACGTCCCATCAATCAAGGGAACCCCCATTAACCCTGGAGGTCGCACTCCAGGCTGCACCCTGCAGTGCTCCTCCCCCGCAGCCACCACTCCCAGTGTGGGCCCTCGCTCCGTTTCAGCACTGAGCCGCAGGCACTGTATCTGTGCATCTGTCTCCACGACCGGCCCTGAGATCATCTCGGGCAACACGTTCATCTCTCCTTCACCTAGAAGGGTGTCTGACAGGAAGCAGGAAGTGTTTAAGTCAAGTCAGCTGTGCTTTGCTGAACAACAATGGAACTCTGTCCAATCTTGCAGTTTTTGTGAAAATTTGAAATTATTCGAAAATAAAAATTTTTTTAAAAAGACGGGCGGGGGGTACCAGTAGCACTGCGCTGTCCGCAATCATCACAACTGTCTCACATGTCACATCAGAAGACACAAGCTACTGGAGAGTCCTGCCCTAGTGTTCACCAGCTGCGACACTAGGAGGCTGTCACTTCACATGCAGCAAACTTGAAAAGGAGGCTTCCCTGGTGGCTCCGTGGTAAAGAATCCGCCCGCCAGTGCAGGCAGGGGACCGGGGTTCCAACCCTGGGTAGGGAAGATCCCCTGGAGGAGGGAAGTATTCTTGCCTGGAGAATCCCATGGACAGAGAGGAGCCTAGCGGGCTACAGTCCATGGAGTCGCACAGACTCGGGCACTAGTTAGTGACTGAGGACTTGAACACAAACTTGAAAAAGAATGAGTAACAAACATTTGAGATTGGAATCCCCGATGTTAATTTTGGTCAAGTTATTTAATCTTGGTCTCCGTTGGGAAAGAGAATAATTCCTACTCCACAAGACTGCTGTGCTAAATAAAGCAGAGTATCTGTCAAACGAGCTCCTAAGGATGCTCTGATCATATACGTCCGGTCTTCCCACTGGACTAACACTTCAACGCAGGGCAGGTGCAGGCGGTGACCAGTTCCAGGGGCTCAAACTGTAAAATTCTCCCTCGATCGGCGCCAGGGCTACGATCATCTATAAAGGAGTCCCGCACATGTGCGCGTGGGTGCCCACCCCGCCCAGGCGTCCTGTTGCAGAGTTCCCCTGGAAAACAACTCGGGCCGTTCACACCGCGGCGCAGCCGACAGGGGTCAGCCGCTGCTGCTACCCGCGGCGCCCGGCTGGGTCTCGAGCGAGCGACCCAAGAGCACGGAGGACGCGCCCGCCGGCTGCACCGGGCGGGACCCGTGGCGGCCGGCAGCCTGGGAGGTCTACGTTCCGGGCCGGGCGGCTTGAACCCGAGCGGCCGGGCCCCGCGGCCTCCGGCGCTCCGCCCGCCCGGCGTCCGTAACGGCGGCGGCGCGGCTTGGGGAGGCCAGGAGCGCGCGGCCGGAGGCGGCCGGCACGCGGCGCGCGCTGCGCTTCCCTGCGGAGCAGCCCGGCGAGGGGAAGCGCCCATCGCGGGAGGGGGGGCGCGCGATCGAGGCCTCGGCGCTGACAGCCGGCCCCGCCGGGAGAGCCCGGCGCGGGCGGCGGGCGTGTGTCGGGGGCGTCGGGGCGGCGCCGGGAGGGACCGGCGAGCCGGGAGGGGCGGAGGCGGCGGGAGGGGGGCGGAGGCAGAGCGAAGGGCCGCGGCGGGGCGCCCGGCGCCCATCAGCCCGCGCCCCGGCCCGCAGGCCCCCGCCCCTGGGCCCCGCGCTGACGCCGGACGGCCCCCGCCCCCACGCCCCCCGCCCAGGCCGGGGGGTAGCTCACCTGTTTGCCGGCGGGGCCGCTCCCGCTCGCCCCTCTGACTGACTCCTCCGGCTCACCGTCTTCCCTCTGGGAGGAAGGGGCGGAACTTCCGGCTTCTGCGCTTCCCCACTTCCGGCGGCTACCAGGACGACTCTTTCGGGGACGGGGCGCCGGGCATCTTGGACAGAACCCCGGATCTTGGAGCCGGGGTTAGTGAAGGCCACATCGAATCCTCCCTCCCTGTCCCGACGGGCCAGCCGGCCTGTATGCCTCCCGCGTTCAGTCTGGTGCCTCCTGCCGGAAGTCACTGGGCTATGGAACAGGAAGTCCCGCCCCCTCCCCAAGTGAGGAAAACGGAAAAATCCGAGAGGTCGGCTGCAAACCGGGGAAGACGCGGGTCAATCAGGGTGGACGACTGGCGGCGTCCGACCCGGAGAGCCAAGCTGGGTTTGCGGGGCTCCCCGAGCGGATTCCTGCCGGACGGTCCGCCGCCCTCCCAACCCCGTGCCCACCAGTCCACCCCCACTCTCCCGCCTTCGCGGATCCCGGGGGAGGCCGCCGCCCTGGGCCCGAGCTGGCCGAGCGCTGCCCGGCGCTCGTCTTGTGGGGACAGGGTCTCTCTGCCGCTCCGGGCGCGTGCGCGGCTCCAGGGACTCAGGAAGACCTGAAGAGCGCCTCAAAAAAAGGGATCCTCGGAGCCACGGGCGGAATTCCGGTACTAACGGGGAGGCAGAGTTGCCAAAGGTGGTTGTTGGACGGTTTGGCAAGAGAAACCGAAGACACCTCGGGCGTTGAAGACGTCCCCCCGAATCGTTTTTATAAACGTGAAGAGCACAGCGCAAGAAGCACAACACGACGGAGCCTAGTAGACACCGCCCCTCCTGCCCCTTTTCAGGGAACTTAGGGCGACCTGAAGCTTACAGCCTTTTCTCAGGAGATTCAAAAGTCCGGATGGAGGACCGCAGCTTGAAAAGTGCGCGGGCAAAGATGCTCAGAGAGGAGGGGCAGCTGTGCCGCCCCACTTGGGGTCAGTGTAAAGACAGAGCTTGCTAAGGAGTTTTGACTTTATCTCGAAGATATAGGGAGGGGAATTTCCTAAATAATCAGCTTTGTATAATTTTTAAGTAAGTGGAATTTTTTCAGGATAGTATTACAATGATAGGCTTTCTCAGCCTGGCGGATCAGATGGTAAAGACTCGGCCTACAATGCAGGAGACCTGGGGTCGATCCCTGGAGAAGGGAATGGCAGCCCACTCCAGTATTCTTGCCTGGAGAAGCCCATGGACAGAGAAGCCTGGCGGGCTACAGCCCCAAAGAGGGAGACACAACTGAGGGACTAACATTTTAACTTCTCAACCACATCAACTCTCAAAGCCAGTTCCAGATCAGTGATTCTGAATCAGAACATTCAGGTGATAATCGTTTTTAAACACTGTCTTATAGAGTATCTTTCACAAACATTATCTGGTCAAATTCTTTTTGTAATCTATATGAAGCCTCATGTCTGTCACCCACAACAGGAAATTGCAGTTTAGAAGAGTCAACTATTCCCAAGATCACACAGCTAGTAAAGGTGGAACTCGCCTGTAAACTCTATAGCCCCCCTTTTCCAGTCCACCATGCATCTTTTGGATGACAAGGTGATGAATTTCTCAACAGTTACAGGAGCTAGCATTTTTCCATGTGGAATAGACATTCTGTTGATTTTGAGTTCTGATTGATCTTGCTACCTTTCTTTTCTTACCGTGGGAATTTGACATTCCTCTTCCTTCTGGAAGCAGTGTAATCAAACCTGAGTTTATTTTTCAGTTCCCCATCATCCGTTATTTTACTGAAACAGGCAGGACCTTTACATTATATAGTGACCTTCAAGAAGTCAAGTCGACTTAATTTTCCTCATGTACAAAATGAGTCATTTAGGGTAAAGTTCCCTTTGAAATTCTGTTAAATGTAAATGGAGATGTTCTCAAATTTCTAAGCCACAGTAATACTGTTACTATCAGTAAAACAGATTTTGTTCCATTAGATGATACTAATAACAGTGATGCTATGCATGCTAAGTCACTTCAGTCATGTCCGACTCTTGCGACCCTATGGACTGTAGCCCTCCAGGCTCCTCTGTCCATGGGATTCTCCAGGCAAGAATACTGGAGTGGATTGCCGTGCCCTCCTCCAGAATAACAGTGATAGCCATAGTTTATAAAGCACCTACTGTGTGTCATGCAGTGTGCTAGAAAATCCAAGAATATAGGGAAAATTTGATTGTTTTTCTGTCTTGTTAAGGAATTTTGTGTATAATATATATGTATGTCCTTGTATACGTGTGTGTGTGTATATATAGAGTAAGGGCTTCCTTGGCTCAGTGGTAAAGAATCTGCCAGCCAAGGGGTCAGGAAGATATCCTGGAGAAGGAAATGGCAACCCACTCCATAACGCTTGCCTGGGAAATTCCATAGACAGAGGAACCTCACTGGCTGCAGGCCGTGGGGTCACAAAAGCGTCGGACACCACGTAGCAGCCAAACAGCAGTGCACGTGTAGTAAAGCCCCTCAGAGCTTCTTTCAGAGACGTTTGTTAAGGCGATGTCCTTCCGTGGCTCCTGGCCTCCATCTTCTCCTGGTAGGCAGAGCTCATTCAGATCTTTTTTCCCTTTTATATTTCCCTGTATGTAATTTGTCATTTTTTCTCAGGCTACTTTCATATTTTTCTCTGTATTTTTGACTTTCAGCAGCCTTGATGATGCTGTGCCTCGACATGGTTTTCTTCATAGTTATCCTGTTTGGAGTTTTCTGAGCTTTTAATACCTGCAAATTTTTATATTTCAGCAAGTTTGGAAAATATGAAACAATTATTTCTTGAAGTACTTTTTCCCATTCTCTCTTTTTCTCTTGAATTCCAATTAAATGATCAATCCTTCCCAGGATTGAACTGGGGTCTCCTGCATTGCAGGCAGATTCAGGCTCAGATTCCATCTGAGCTACCAGGGAAGCGCCAGACACACATGACATCTATTGATAGTATGCGTGACTCACTGAGACTCGGTCCTCTTCTTTTCAGCCTTTTTTTCCCCTCTGAGAACTTGAGCTTGGATCATTTTCATCACTCTGTCCTCTGTTCCCTGATTCTTCTGTCATCTTCTGTCATCTGGAAGAAGCAACTAGTGATTTTGTTTCCTTAATTCAGATATTGTATCTCCTAGTTCTGAAATTTCTAGTTGGTTCTGTCTATTCTACTTCTAAAAATAAAAATCTATTTCTCTACTGAGATTTCTTATTTGTTGACTTATTAAAAGCATATTTTCCACTAGCTGCTTTGACATTTCGTCTTATTCCAACATTAGAATCATCTTCAGATTAACCTTCATTAATTTGCTCTTTTCTCTTGATTATGAGTCATGTTTTCCTTTAAGTGTCCAGTAATTTTTATTGTATCCTAGATATTTGAGTAACATAGAGACTCTGAATTCACATGTTTTTCTGCAGACATTGTTGTTACTGTTTTAACAGGCAGTTTGTTTCGGCTGTACTCACACTCTGTCACGATAGCAGTGAAATCACATTCACTTCCCTCGACCTTAGCTGGCAGGATTTAACCTGCCTCACATATGCACAGTCCCAGGGTCACCCAGAGCCTCAGGCAGACTATGTGGAACTTGGGGCTAAAACTCCCCCCCTCACCCTGCACTGATGTCATAACCCTGTGGTTGGCCTTCTGGCTCCTCAGGTGGGGCTTTAAATAAAATTTAGATAACTGCCTTTATCTAGTTATAATTATGTAAATTTGAAAGGAAGCGTTGGTGACTTCCCTGGTGGTCCAGTGGTTAAGAAGGGGATGTGGGCTTCATCCCGGGTCTGTGAACTAAGATCCCGCATGCTGCAGAGCAACTAAGCTGACTTGCTGCACCCAGGACTAGAAAGCCCGCAGGCCACAACTAGAGAAGCCAGACACTGCAGCGAAAGATCCCGTGTGGCCTCCAGGACCTGATACAGCTGGAGAAATAAACAGAAATGCAACCCAAAAAAGGAAGCATTGGTCATTTTTGGTGATTAGCCATTCTTGATGACTAATGGTGTTGTTTAAAGTTCTAATTTCCTTTAAATTAACACCTTCTGCCATTACGTTCACATGCCATACAGTAACAGTGAGAGTGTGCTGTAAACATTTAAACACACTTGAATTGTAAATGTAAGTTCTTGATGCATTTTGGTGAAGTTCAGAGTGGGTGGTGAGATGATGTAAAACTTCATATTTTCTGTTACAGTCAAAGGCATAATTTCTCTGACATCTTCATTCTCAATAAGAAATTACACTAGAATAATGTTTTTAAGTAAAACTTTTCCACATAATGACCATTTTTTTCTTGTTCAACCTACCTAATCGAAAAAAGCTGAGAAGCATTTATTTACTTATCATAACTGTTAAGAAATTATAGTCATTACACCAACCATCCGTTCTCCTCCACATGACACTAGAAAGAATGAAACTACATTACTTTGCTTCAGAAAGTCTGTATTTCTGTCTATACTTCACTGATTGATTGAGCCCTTGGACAGTCCCTCAAAGAGAATATACCCAATGCAGCCCTCTGCCTCCCCAGGCCTGCTTCCTAAAGAGGAAAACTGATTCAATCCATTAAGAGGGAGGTTATCTTTCTTACTTAAGTGGCCTACGTCTAAGGTGCAGATATTACAGGGTTGGTCAATGGAAGAACAGGAATACATGCACAGGTATTAGGACTTAGGTTTCACTGCTTGTCATGAATGGCAGTGATATTATGAACAGGTAAATGATTATGCTAGATTTAACCATAGAGTACATTATCACAGAAACAAATATTTCATCTTAACAGAGTCAAGACCTCAAATCATTATTTAACTCTTTAGCTATTACATTTTCAGTTAATATCCAACTTGAAACAAAATTTAAAAATTAATGGCCAGATGTCATTGACTAGATATAACACTGAATATTTAAAATAATACAGTATTTAAAAATCAGTTGGGGCTGTCATAAAGTGGAATTTGCTTGGGGGCTTGTTTTTTACGTGAGTGTAGCCGTCAGTAGAAGAGAGAAGCCAAGCACAGTTGCGTTCTTGGAGCTTCCTTCTTACTCCACTTCTGGGAATCATGGAGCACACGTTCTGTGGAGCACTCTGTGCTTAGCACAACCTCTCAGCTCAGCGGGCCGTCACCCTGCAGGAAATGCAGGGCAGTGTTACCCAACCTCCTGGTTGCTCAATAGACATCATTCTAGTGAGGTCTGCTGACTCTGAGACGCTGGCATCCGCTTCAGAAGTGTTCAGAAAGAGGCCATGTGGAACACGGTGACGGGAGCCATGAGGGGCTCATGGGCAGCTGGTTTGTGGCCCCGGCAAAGACCCCAGTGCAGCCCGGGAGACGCAGGAGCTGGCAGCAGGAACACCCCAGCGTGACTTGTTTCCTGTGCTTTCCCCAGTAATGGCTGCCCCCAAGTCAGTTTCATCTAGGAACAGCGTGAGGCAGAGAGCATAAAGATAGAAGTCCAGGCTGGGGATAACCCAAAAATGCATCTTCAGAACCAGCGGACAATGTCAGCGAGCAATACTGAGCACCTACTGTGTGCAGTGCACTGCACTTGACCCATGAAGTACAGAGATGAGTTGGAAATGGAAAACAGAGATGGGAGAGAAATGTAAATGTTTGCTTTTAAAAGTTTCCTTTCATTGGTCTCCTGCCCAATAACAGTCGATTTCTCTCTGCACTCTCAGTGGAATCAACCTGGAAAATACTTCCTTTCTGGCTCCCAAATAACAGCAGAACCCAGATTGTCACATGGCTCAGGGCCAGGTGGAAAACCCAGATGGAGCTAAGAGAGTTGCAGAGACCCCTCATCACCCCAAGGGCTGAATAATTAACCAGAGGTTGCAGGGCTCAGCAGTAAGGCAGATAGGTAGACTAGTGAATGAATAATCTTATAATTTAGTGCCTTGGTAAAACTGATGTTACTTTGCTCAGAAGTGGCTACAATGTATCTTAACCACCCTTGTCAGTTGTCTAACATGAACACCCCTTTAAAAACACAAACTGGTGGACTTTAGTGATCCAAGAAGCTGGCGGCCAACACAGGGAACACAAGCTTGATCCCTGGTCCAGGGAGATTCCACATGCCACGAGGAAGCTAAACCAGAGAGCCACAGTTACTGAAGCCCACGTACTTGGGGCCCATGCTCCACAGTGAGACGCCACAGCCACGAGCAGCCCACACACCGCAGCAGAGAGCAGCCCGCGCAGCCTCAGAGGCAGCAGGCCTGTGTGCAGCAGCGGAGACCCAGGCTAGCCATGATACATTTTTAAATTTTTTGTATTTTTACAAAATACAAATTGGCATCATAAACTTCTTGTATATTTCGTTGTTGGGAACTCTGTGAAATACACCAGGTAGGTCCCACAAAATCCAAGACGTTAGAAGATTCAGTGTAAACTGGCTAGCATAAACCAAGCTTAACAGGAAAGAATATCAAACACCTGCCAGTACTTAACAGCTAGCATTAATTTTTTAACTTTATTTGTGTTTATTTGGCTGTGCTGGGCCTTCATCATGGCATGTGGGATCTAGTTCCCTGACAGGGGTCAAACCCAGGTCCCCTGCGTTGGGAGCAGGCATCCGACTCACTGGACCCCTAGGGAAGTCCCAACAACTAGCATTTAAATGTCCTGTAGCATCAGAGGAAAAATGCCCCCACCTGAGTGCCCTCGTGAGGCTGAGGCCTCAGCTGGGTCTTACATCTGTGACGCGGGTCAGGACAAGCTGAATTACTGGCCCTCAGGTCCAGCCATGTTAGATGAGGGGCAGCAAGCTATACAGCTGACATTTCAAGAACCCATGAAGCAGTGGGATGTGTTATGCTTGTTTTTTATTTAGAATTAGAAACATTTTTTAAATAAACCCTTAAATCCTTCTCCATTAATGTGATTTAAATAATGAACTTATTAAATCGGCTTGTTTACATATTCTCAACTGTAGAAAACATGCAATTTTTTTGTTTGTTTACACCATCAAATCCAATCAAGCCAAACAAGATGGTTAACTGAAGTGATTAATGATCAGCTGCATTGGCTGATAGCTTTAAATTTAGACTGTGTTACTGATGTCAGGGTTGATTAGTTCTCTATCTAAAACTGATGCTATTAAAAGCTTTGAGCAATTTAGATGTAGTCATTGACTAAAGATCCAGCGGGTGAGAGAAATCCCATCAGGATGAATTCTGCATTCACATGTGCACAGACACTGAAGAAAAGGCAGGCCTTTACTGGAGGGGCAGGAAGTAAGCCTGGGATGCAAGAGGAGCAGCCAGCTGGCATCAGGTAAAGAGGCTCAGAATTTCAGACACACTCGTCTTCACCCAAGGAGTCCTAGGGGGCGTGTGGACATGAACGCTGATCATTTCCATCTCAGCAGTTTTGAAGAAGGAAAAGGGGAGCAAGAGGTTAAGGTGGTCCCATGCTGTAACTGAGCTTCCCAGATAGCACTAGTGGTAAAGAACTCGCCTGCCAGTGTAGGAGGCATAAGGAGGTTTGATTCCTGGGTCTGGAAGATACCCTGGAGGAGGAAATGGCAATCACGCCAGTATTCTTAGGTCACCTCTCCCGCTCTAGGGGGAGGTGGGGTGGTGTGTTATTTACAATCCACCTGAGACTCTTATTTTGGGGCTTCCCTGGTGGCTCAGCTGGTAAAGAATCCACCTGCAATTCGGGAGACCTGGATTTGATCCCTGGGATGGAAGATCCCCTGGAGAGGGAATGGCTACCCACTCCAGTATCCTGGCCTGGAGAATTCCATGGACTGTACCGTCCATGGGGTCACAAAGAGTCAGACACAAGTGAGTAACTCACTTTCACCAGTATTCTTGCCTGGGGAAATCACACAGACGAGGAGCCTGGTGCGCTACAGTCCATGGGGTCACAAGGAGTTGGACACAACTGAAGCAGCTTAGCACATGAACACATTTTAGTAACTCCTCTAGCAGGGAACCCACAGGGGAATCATAGTAGTCAGTGCAGGAGACCAACACATTTATCAACAAGAGCAAGGGGACGTTATGGTAAGAGCAAGGGTGACATAGGATGGACAGTCAGTGGGCGGAATGATTGTGTCTCTTGAGCACTTAGAGGCCTGGAGCACAAACCGGGATCACACCAATGGAACTGCAAGCAGAGAACGTAGTCAGAGGCTTGTCCTCACCCTGAAGGGCACTGCAAGCCCAAGGCAGAGAGGACTGCAGCAGGACGTGGGAAAGCAACTTGTCCAAGGTGGCTGTGACTTCAGAAAGGCATGCAGCAGCGACATTAAACCATATCCAATGTCTGTGCCTCGGAAATATTTTATTACTGGTCCAAAAGTCCAGGGACACTCTAAAATGGGAGGGGAAACATTATTTTTGAGAGCAAAATTCTCTGGATATTTAGATTCTGTTCTTGCCCAGGGTCATGTGAAAGGAATCTGTTAGCAGTTCAGATCGAGACTGTAAGGTTTCTACCATGATGAACGCAGCTTTGCCATCTCTAGGAAAAAGGCAGCAAATAATTTGGATCCCTGTATGTAGTTCCACCTAACAAAAGAAATAAGAGACACTGTTACTCCTGCTCAAATGACAGAGGAAAATGGGTCTATAATTTAAACAGTAAGCCTTGATGATGCACATTCCAACTAGAGGATGCAGCCTGTCTGGGGTCACCAGCGTGGAGACCCCAGGCTTGTGCAGGGAGGCACCAGCGCCCACGGGGTCCATTCACCTGTTGATCTTCTCATTCTGAGAGTGCTCTCCATCATCCACAGTACCCAGTGGCAGCATTATCACACTCTTCTGGGTGGTGTCCTGGAGGGTCTTGGCGATGGGTATGGTTGACCCATCCCGGATCATATCTGGCTCTGTCCCAAACACTGATTTGCAGGAAAGGCAGGCATGTGAATAAAACAATGGCAAGACCACCCCCAAGCAATCTCCTCGAATGTACTGCTTACTTTTTTCTTTTTAAAAAAATCATTAAAAATTTGATACTTAGGATAAAAAGCTTCTTGATTCCACATAATATATATTCTAAAATCATCAAAAGAGTCAAGAAGAAAACCACAGTTGTCTTCTTTACAGTTATGTACTTTTAAAAAAATTATTTTTAGGGGCTTCTCTGGTAGCTCAGTGGTAAAGAATCTGCCTGCTGACGCAGGAGACACGGGTTCAGTCCCTGGTGCAGGATGATCCCACACGTCGTAGAGCAACTAAGCCCAGAGGCCACAACTATCAAGCCTCTGCTTTAGAGCCTGCTCTCCTGGAGCTCATTCCCCACCACTGCAGAAGCTACCACTGTGCAAAGTACTCCCACTAAAGAGTAATCTAAACTAAAGAGTAATCCTAGCAGCAACAAAGACGCAGCACAGCCCAAAATAAATAAATGTTAAAAAAACTTTAAATATAGTTTTAAATGTTTTAAAATTTGAACTAATTTTATACTTACAGAGAAGTTGCAAAAATTAGTACAGAGTTCCCATATATCCTTTACTTTCCCTAACGTTATCATAGAACCACTGTAGTTATCAACAATAGGAAATTAACATTGAGTAACATCGTTATTAATAACTAGACTCAGGCCTAAATGGAATTTTACCACATTTCCCCTTTTTTTGTTCCAGGATTGAGCCCAGACTCCCACAGTACATTTTGTCATCACTTCTGAGTCTCCTCAGGCTTGTGACAGATTCACGCCTCTCTTTGACTTTCATGAACTGGACCCTCTTGTAGAGTGCTGATTGGCTGTTGTGTAAAATGTCCCCCCGAATAACTTTGTCTGATGCTTTCTCACGGTTGGAAGAAGTCCTGCATTTTTAGCAGGAGCTAAACGAGCTAAACACCATGAGACGGTGTACCCACTTTTATGGTTGCTACATGAATTAACTATTGGGAAAGTGGGACTTCTTTTGTTTTTATTTTTATCTGTAATCAACATATAAATAAATAGCTGTACTCAACTGTCGCCTGAATGTCTCAGTGTTTGTGTACTCAACTTTCAAGGTACTTCAGGAAATAGTATTAATGGATATCCTAAGGTCTAGAAAGAGATGAGTTGAGACCTTCCAGGCTAGAGGACAAGTTGCAGGTGACAGAGCAGGAATGAACAATGAAGCAAAGTCACAAAAGAGAACCTGCCCCAGGACTTTCTCATCCACAGAGCAAGGTGTGAAGGTGAATAAAGACAGTGGATGTTGTTAGCAGAATGGTCCAGCACACAGATAGGCCCTAAGCTGCCTAAGCTTCCCTGCAACAGTAGGTCAGGTCTCGACATTTCAATCACATGCCTCTCTCTTCAGCGGCAGTTCCTTTATCATGCTAACCCTTCCTCCTCTTTTCTTCACCTGGCAGTGGGGATGATTATGTAGCTCTAAGTCTTGGACTTGTCCTCTGATGGTTAATGTCTGTGTCCCTGGACTGACCACTATGATGAAAGAGTGAGGGCTGTAAGGAGGTCTGGACTCCAAGTTCCAGCTCGCCATTGTTAGGGGAGTGCCCCCAAGGCCCCTCTGTAATGTAGCACATGGATCTATATAAACAAGTATCAGTATCTTCCCGTCTCACATTTGGACAGACCCCCAAGGGCCCCCACCCCCGCTTTTAGGAGAGCCCCTCATTTTGTAATTGTTGGCAGTATCCCATTCCTGCTGAAAAAAGGCTGGCTATTCCTTCTCCCCCAGCAGCCAGGGCCCAGACACGTGTCCCCTGCTCACCACTCACAGGATCCTGTCAATACAAAAGTCGAAAGAGGCACTATGGAGGAAATTACAAATAAAGCTACTCCCCATCTCTGGAGAAGGACCACTGGGTTTAGATTGAGATGGGCTGGAGTTGAGTTTCTCGTGTGTTTTGTGATTTTGTACAAGGAGCTCATATCCAGGAAGCTGCTTCAGTGGAAGCTCGTTCCTGCCTTGGGGCTGTTTGCACCAGCCAGGCAGTCCAGCAAGGCCTTCAGAAGAACAAGACCATATATGGTGGGAATAGAGACACAAACCCATGCCAAGATGGGTCCATGGTTAAACAGTCTCACGGGGGGACCCTGTGTTCACCCAAAACCCAAGCAAGGAGGGTCAAGCTGACACATACACACACCCCTCCAGGGTGAGCCTGGCTCCTGGAGAATGCCCTGCCTTATATAGAGGGTCTCGTTTTCTGCTTCCTGATGCCCTGAGACCATTAATACCCACAGCGCCTTGTGACCAGGAAGAGCAAATTCCTGCCAGGCAGCCTGGTGTCAGCTTGCTCATTCCACTCAATCTTAGCTGCTTCATGTTTAATCCCAGAGGATTTCCTTTACTTTCATACAGCTTCAACTGTGCCTTTAAAAGGATGTTTTAAAATATTAGTCATCATTTCCTGGGTCAGGAAGACCTCTTGGAGAAGGAAATGGCAACCCACTCCAGTATTCTTCCCTGGAAAATCCCATGGACAGAGCAGCCTGGTGGGCTGTAGTCCATGGGGTCGCAAAGAGTCAGACATGACTGAGCGGCTAACTCTTTCCACACTCCCATCATTTCCATGAGCACTGGAGGTTTTCAAGTCCATCATTTTCCCCAAAATTCAAGTCTCCTGGTGTGAGCTTAAATGCTGGCTTTTCCACTAATAGCTGGGAGCCCTTCAGCAAATTACTTTGTCTCTTCAGGCCTTATTTATAAAACGGGGAAGGTAATAGAGAAGACTCATGAGACAGAGCATTGTGCATGGTAATACAGCCCATAGGAAAAGGACAATTACGCTGAGGTTTTAACCTTACCTGCCTTATCCACTGCTCCAACAGGCACCACCTCCCATGGTAAACTGGCAACTCAAAATATCTTAAGTCCAACCTGTTTTGATGGCTCTTTTTGCTGCAAGATACTGATGGTCGCTAATATTTGCAATCCACGGGTGCAGTCCTAGTGCCGTGGAAACAGTCATCTGGTTGGAGCTGTTTCTTTTGGAGAATATGTATTCAAGATGCTGCTTCACCTGAAAGGTAACATTTTCAGGTGTAAGAGAAACCTTCAAGTAATTCTCTCATACCATGAATGCACAGTCGTCTTTCATCTGGAAACTGATTAAACCTCAACCCGCCAAATTTTGAGTGTTTTGGGCTTTGCCTGAGTTCTTCTGGAGGGCTGGCCTGGAGTGAGCAGGCTCTCCAGGATTCGGGGGTGAGCGGGGGGGTTTCATCTGATGGGAGCAACACTGGGTCTCACTCCCCTTCCTCCCCTAGACTCTCCAAGGCCAGCCCCGCCCCAACCCCTCCTCAGCACGATGTCTGTTAGCATCTGGTTATTTGGAATTTTGCTAGTTATGAAACATAATGCAAGTATAACTTCATCTGATGACTGATTGCCCTCTTTGGACTTATCAGTACCTTCATGACAATTTGGGGAACATCATACATTTGGAAATTTCCCAGAAGTGGGAACAGTTCTGAGCTAAGCTGTGAAGGAGCCTGGCCATCAGTGTCCTTCTCTCCCCTCAGTTCTGTTAGCTGCTACTAGGGAACTCCTCTGAGAGTAACTTCAGACTCTGAAATAGTCCTTCCAGGGAACTCCTGGGGGTCCAGGGGTTGGGACTCCACACTATCACTGCCGAGCGCCCGGGTTCAATCTCTGGTCAGGGAACTGGGATCCCACAGGCCGTGTGACGTGGCAAAAACAGAACAAAAAATCCTTCCACTTTTGGCTTCAGCAGATGTCAGTGGACATCTGTCACGTGTCCTGGGTCAGCACCCAGCTGGTCACAGCTGTGAGCAAAAGCAGGTTGTCCCTGCCCTCCTGGAATCTGTATGTTATAGAAAGAGGGACAGTAAGTCCGAAAAGGGGAGGAGGGAGGAGGGGAGGGAGGAGCGGGGAGGAAGGAGGAGGGGGAGGGGAGGGAGGAGAGAGAGGGAGTGTGTGGATGCGATCAACAATAAAAGGGGTAGAACACAGGGACAGAAAGGGATGGGATGAGGTGTTTCCTGAGCACATTTATTCAGAGTCTACTTTCCATTAAACTTGAGTGAACTGACACTTGGTGGATAATTTAGACACTGAACTCCCGCCAGATAACGTTGTCATTAAAATGGCTGCGTTCAGAGAGTGGATTTCAGACAAACTGATGACTACGGCTGCAGATTTTTCCAGCTCAATCCAGCCGCGGGCAGTTAGCTGCTCCATCTGGATGGAAAACCAATCCTGCCTTCATGTCTACCATTTACTCTTTAAAAATTTCCCATCACTCCAACTCCAAATGGTCACTTATCTGACTACTGTAATTGCATATAATTGAGCAGAGAGATTTTCACCAAACAAAAATTTCTATCAGTGTCTTGACGTTTGCTCCAGTCCCTTTTCCATTGGAAAAAAGAATGATACTTCAGTGCTAACAACTGATCTGCCCCTACACTGTGGTGTGCGGCACTCGGGCACAGGCAGAGAACTCAGCACGCAATTACCTGGGTCTCCACCACAGACATATCCATGTGCGGCACTAACCGGATGGAGAATTTTCCTATGACTCGGCCAGGAATGACTGTTTTGGCTCCAGGCTCATGAAATGCACCCTCAATCCCATGGATAGAAAGAGATGGGTACCTCCACAGGTGCATTAGAAGTTCCTCCTATGAGATAAAATCATTTATTACAGAGAAGAACGTTTCATTAAAACCCAATCGAGTGGTATCGCGTGTTCACCAGTGTCTGTACGCCTGCAACACTGCTCACGACAGGCTAATTATCACCTTACTGAGACAGGCCTGGATGACAGTATGGTTGGGCTTCCCCAAGGACCCGAGACCTGCCCTAGCTGCTTCCACCGACCACAACCCCTCATCACGCCAGCTCTGAAGTCTGCAGTTAGAACTGAGGTTCAATTATAAATTTCTGTCCCCAGTCATTCCAGTGATAACTTGTGTGCTAAATGCATTTTGTTTTCCAGAAGCCTTCAAAGAAATCTGCCGACCTTTGAGCCGGTAGCCCCCAGAAAGCCAGTCTGAGCAAACAGATATACTTCGTGATAATAAACTCCCCACTTCTGTTCAGGGTCCCTCCCTCCCCCGGAGGTTCCCCCCCAGGAACCAGCCAGAGTGACCCATCAACTGGATGGGCAAGCGGGTTTTTGTTTCTTAAAAGGAGGAGAAGTAGATGGGAAAACAAAGAAATATAAACTGGCCAGTGAGTGCTCAGTCACTTCAGTCGTGTCCGACTCTTTGCGATCCTGTGGCTACTCTGTCTGTGGGACTCTCCAGGCAAGAATACTGGAGTGGGTTGCCATGACCTCCTCCAGGGGATCATCCCAATCCAGGGATCGAACCTATGTCTCTTTTCTCTCCTACACCGGCAGGCAGGTTCTTTACCACAACCGCCACCTGGGAAGCACAGATTTGCCAGTAGCCAATGCTTTTGGCTGTGGGCTTATTTACTACAGTGAGACAGTGATGGAGAATTTACAGATTAAATCCTAAAGCTCTAGTTTTGTCTTTTTTAAAATTAAAAAAAAAAACAATGAGGGATCATGGAACTGAAATAATCTCAGCCGATCTCAACCGCTAAACAGACAGGAAGCTCAACTCACTGGCTGAGGGCTGGCATGGGGTTGAGTCTCATAAACCGACTAGAAACATGCGGCCGTGAGTCAGGCCGCCCGAGGCCCATGCCGGACGGACCCCGAGAAAAGGGCCGGCTGATCTTGCCCCTGGGACGGGACCCTGAAAGGGAAAGCTGCCCTAATGAGAGTGTGCTCCCAGCTCTGAGATGTGCAGAATGGCAGCGCATGGCAAACCAGGCACTGGGAAAGCACGGGTTCTCGGCACTCTTGCAGATTTCCCGTGGAGGCGTGACCTACCTTGGTGTCAAATAGGAGCCCCTTAACCCGGCTGCTGCTCCGGAACTCGCCCACGTCCAGGTCGATGGCCTCGTACATCCTCTTCTCCTCTTCTGTAACAGGGGCCACGCGCTCATAGAGCCCAGGGACCAGGATGCAGCCAGACTTGTCCACCAGGCTGCCTGCGAGACACGCGGGGGCGGGCGCGGGGGCGGGCGCGGGGGCGGTTACATGTGTGCGGGGTCCTAGCCCTGGAGAGGAGCCTTAAGAGGGACATGATTGTTTCTGGCCTGTTAATCTGCTTCACCAAAGCCCCATAGCTCATAAGGCAAAAACTGTAACACAGGTACCATTAAAGAACAAATATTCATTATAAAAAAGAAATTAAAGACCCTATTATATAATATACATTCATTATAAACAAATACAACCATAACTGCTCTTCAGGGATGTACTTGTAGATGCTGTATGCTTATCGGCCCCCGAGGGTCCTGAGTTATGAATTCCCCTCATTTAGCCCAATAAGGAGTATCATATATCAAATAAATGATGCAAACTCACTAGTAAAATTGAAGTCAAAAATAAGTTGGGCACCGACAGACTTGGACTGGCTGTAACTGTCAGTTACAGTTACAATCCGCCTCTGTCTCCCCTTGCTCCTTGGAAGGAAAGCTATGACCAACCTAGGCAGCATATTAAAAAGCAGAGACATTACTTTGCCCACAAAGGTCTGTCTAGTCAAGGCTATGGTTTTTCCAGTGATCATGTATGGATGTGAGAGTTGGACAATAAAGAAGCCCGAGAACTGAAGAATTGATGCTTTTGAACTGTGGTGTTGGAGAAGACTCTTGAGAGCCCCTTGGACTGCAAGGAGATCCAACCAGTCCATCCTAAAGGAAATCAGTCCTGGGTGTTCATTGGGAGGACTGATACTGAAGCTTAAACTGCAATACTCTGGTCACCTGATGGGAAGAGTTGACTCATTGGGAAAGACCCTGATGCTGGGAAAGGTTGAAGGTGGGAGGAGAAGGGGATGACAGAGGATGAGATGGTTGGATGGTATCACTGACTCAGTGGACATGAATTTGAGTAAGCTCCGGGAGTTGGTGAGGGACAGGGAGGCCTGGTGTGCTGCAGTCCATGGGGTCGCAGAGTCAGACATGACTGAGCAACTGAACTGAACTGAACTTCTGTCACCCTGATGAAAACAGCACCAAACTTAAAAGTCCCACCAGTGACACAGTCATTGAGTCTTTAGTGTCCCTGAACCTAAACTTCCGCTGCCAGGCTCGTCTTCGAGGACAAAGGTGAATGGTAGACAGACCTGCTGGTAATGCAGCCGGAAAAACACAGGTAGGGAACCAGCGGTTGGACCACCTGGGCCAGCCTGTGGGGCCAGCCGAGAGGGGCGGCGCAGTCAGTGGTGAGAACGGACACGTGTGTCTGAAACGCCAAGGGCAGCAGAAGCCAGGATGCCCAGGGTCCGGGTCATGGTGCCCATTTAGCTGGTGCAGCCAGACCTCACCCCTGAGTAGGGCAGGGGCGATTCAAACAGACTTCTGAGACCTGAGGCTGCGATCGGAGCAGCTCACCACTTCCTCCAGCAGAAATGCCCCGGGGGCCCAGTCCTATAAATCTCTGTTTTCTTGGGATGGAAGCAGCCCTTCCCCATGCCAGCTGGGGGGAGTAAGTATCTGATTTGTTTCAAAAACAAAGTGAAAACATGTGCTTTTCATCCTGTCAGGACCCTAGTGGGACTTTTCCTAGCAGACACTGTGCCCTGGCAGGGCTGAATGGAATTCCAGGTCTGGGTGAAACCACAGTCTACCAAGATGCAGTGAGGCAGTAGTGCCTGGGGCAGGTGGGGAGACCTCTAAATGCAGTCCCAAAGACGCAGGGATGCCACGCATTCCATGCGGGGAGGCAGCGGAGGATGAGTCTGGTAAAACAGAGGTTATTTTATCTCCCCCTACCCTGCAAAACAAAAATATTAAGTTGTATGCTATCTGAATTCTTCTGGAAACAATTTAAACACTTTAAAGAAAAACGGTTCGCTATTTTCTGTCTGAAACCATCAAGCATGGAAAATACTGTCCAAGAGTTATATTGTAGGAAAACTAGAAGGCCTTAAAAAATAGGTGATAGATGAATAGGCAGACAGAAGATAGAGCACAGATAATAGATGGATTTCGCTATTTCATTGGGTAATGAAGGAGCAGGATGCACTAGAATAAAGTGACGCTGAAGACTGGGGGGCGACTGCCCAGCAGGTCTGCTGGAGGGCTGGTGGTTTCCAGGAGGAGGCCCCAGCCCACCGGGGTGTGAGCGTGTAGGACTGAGGTAGCACTGTGTCAAGGCGTGAAAAGCAGGGGTCTTTGCTAATTGATCCCCAGAGAGGGTGCATGCGTGCTAGGTGTCTTCAGTACTGTCCAACTCTTCGTGACCCCATGGACTTTGCCCTCCAGGCTCCTCTGTCCATATGACTCTCCAGGCAAGAATACTGGAATGCTTTCTGGCCATTTGCCCAAAGGGGCTTGTTGTGAAATTTGCACAGAGTCAACCTTTATCCAGGTGAGAAAGATCCAGAGTTGTGGGGTCTGAAGCTTGTCTAACCTGAAAACCTCTTTTTAAAAAAAGAAGCAAATTATGACTTGAATTGATGCTTTTGAACTGTGATGTTGGAGAAGACCCTTGAGAGTCCCTTGGACTGAAAGGAGATCAAACCAGTCAATCCTAAGGGAAATAAACCCTGAATATTTGCTGGAAGGACTGATGCTGAAGTTGAAACTCCAATACTTTCGCTACCTGATGCGAAGAACTGACTCATTGGAAAAGATCTGATTGCTGGGAAAGATTCAAGGTCAAGGTAGAAGGGGATGACAGAGGATGAGATGGTTGGATGGCATCACTGACTCAAGAGACATGAGTTTGAGCAAACTCTGGGAGATAGTGAAGGACTGGGAAGACTGGCGTGCTGCAGCCCATGGGATCACAAAGAGTTGGACATCACTGAGTGAACAACAGCAACAAGTTATTACAGCATGTGCAGAGTCCCTACCAGGACTGTGCAAGCCACCCTGCAGATGTAGCTTCCTTCAGCTCCACGATCCATCTGACTGCTGGGCTGTCCAGGTGTAGGTGAGAGCTACAGTGAGTCAGGCAGGTGAGCAGGCTCCCTGGACACAGACAGAGACACACACACACACTTACATTCACCTGCATCCACCAGGCCCACCACCAGAGAAGTTAGGGATGAGGGTTGGGGGCAGCGAGCAAACTTGTTAGGGGAAACACTGACTGAAACCGCCCACCCAGGCCAGGCACCATAGTCACCATCTGCATGAGTTGCTTTACAACAGGACGTGCTGGTAAGGAACGCAGAATCAGCAAGCCACCACAAACCAGAAGAATTACAGGAAAGGTCAAATGGAGATGCCACTCATCCTATCAACCCCCCAGGATCCTCCTCGCTGGCATCCACCTTGGCTGAGTGATGCCTGTGCCACTAGGAAGGACCCTAAGTCAGAGTGATTGGCCAGAGACCACCCGGAAACGCATCCCATCAGCATAAAACCCAGGACCACGAGCCACATGGCAGAGAAGTCCTCCTGGGTCCCTTACCCTGCCGCGGTCCCCCCGGGGGCCCCTTCCCAGTGAAGTCTCTTGCTCGGTCAGCATGTGTGTCTCCTCGGACAGTTCATTTCCAAGTGTCAGACAAGAGCCACTCTCGGGCCCCAGAAGGGCTCCCTGATGCTGCAACAGACTCACTGGTGTCCCTGAGCCACGTGGGGTCCTGGGGACCCATGGACAGAAGCCAAGAGGCGCGGGCAGACTGAGCAACGGCTCTGGATGCTTTTCTGGAAGGGTCTGTCCACCACCGTCCCCGAGGACGGCCAGATGTGTTGTGACACCCAGTAAATGAAAAGGGGGTGGGTTGAGAGAGGGTTTCAATCCTTGGAAATAAATAACATGGATGTAATAAGCCTCAGGAGCTTTAGGTTATCCTCTGAAAGTCGCTCAGTCGTGTCTGACTCTTTGCAGTGCCATGGACTACACAGTCCACGGAATTCTCCAGGCCAGAATACTGGAGTGGGTAGCCTTTCCATTCTCCAGAGAATCTTCCCAACCCAGGGACTGAACCTAGGTCTCCCACATTGCAGACAGATTCTTTACCAGCTGAGACACAATGGAAGCCCAAGAATACTGGAGTGGGTAGCCTATCCCATCTCCAGCAGACCTTCCCAACCCAGGAATCAAACCGGGGTCTCCTGCGTTGCAGGTGGATTCTTTACCAACTGAACCATCAGGGAAGCCCTAGGTTTTCCTCTGTTCTGCCCTTATTCAGGGCTGGCCTGAAACCGAGCAGGAAAGGGCCGAGTCCAGGAGAACCACGTGAGCAGATTCCTTGAGACTTAAAAAGTGAAAGAGGATGTTACCAAGAAGAGCGACCAGATCCGCCATGGGTTCATTGAGGATCCCACCAAAGGTCCCCGAGTGGAAATCTTGATCCCGGCACTTCACCTGCAAGACAGGCAAAGGGAAGGCAGCTGCTCCCGCTGTGGCCACTCGACAACAGCCCTCACCTGGCACCAGACCCGCCCAGGCGGCCCTCAGGACTCGGGTGGGTCAGCTGACACCCCCGCCGTGTTTCTCTCACATGACGTGGGGCTTCACGTCCCACTGGCTTCCCTAAAACTGGCTTCGCCTCCAGCCTTGCCTCCAGCAGTGCTGTGTCCCAGACCACCAGCCACCCCCCTACCCCGGGCCATGGCGATGTTCACGGAGCTGTCTCCCTCTTGGTTTCACCCCAGCTCTTACTCAGCCCTCCTTCCAGAGAAATTCTCCAAGAAACTTCCTTCTGCTTGTTCTCTCTTGCCTGCAGGACAGGTCTCCTTGTCTCTTCTAATAAGTGCTTTTCTGTCTGCTCACCCCATTGTGAGCCTGGAGCCTCCTTCCTCTGCACGTGGAGTGAGATCCACATGGCTCCCTCATGGGCTCCATGGTCTCAGCGCTCACCCTCGAGGTCTAACCTTGGACCCACCCACAAGACCTAAGGCTTCTGTTTCTTTGGTACTTAATACTTTGGCATGCTCCCAGCTGCTGAACTGGAGGAGGTCTGGAAGGGAATATCCTCTACAGATGCCTCCCTCAGCGGTCGTTTCCAGGAGGGCTGCGGACCTGTGATTCCATCCCCTTCATGACCTTGGCCTCCTCCTAGGCACACCGTGTCCAACCAGCTCCCAATTTCTAATGAGTTTGGATGTGTGTGTGTTTTTTTAAAATCGTTTTCAGCTCCTTCCCTCTCAGCCTTCCTGCCTGGCTGGCCCTTCCCTGCCCCTCACAGCACTGCCAGATGAATCCTTCACTTACTCCTCAGGCAGCAATGTGAACACAGCCCTTGGGTTGGTAGTGCTCCTCTGGGATCCCATGCTCTTATCCCTCCTTCTGGCCCCAGCATCTCTCCTCCATCCCCCTGGCCACAAGCCCCTCTGCCTCTTCACTCCAGAAACATGGACAAAACACAAGCATTCACTGTTGGGGGGCTTCATGGACCCCCCAGTCCTGAGACCCCGCGATTCCCCCACACCGGGTCAAGCACCCAGGTCAGCGTCTGCTCCATCCTCCCACCAGGATCCCAGCGTGGACACCCCTACATCCCTGACGGCCACGGTTGGCAGGTACCTCCACAGTGAAGTAGCTGTTCCCCCACGTCCCATAGATGAGCGCCGGCTTCCTCTGGCTAATCCACAGGTTGTCCAAAATCACAATGCAGTCCACACTCGAGAAGAAACCAGACTTTTCTTTCCAGACAAGTTCCTCCAGGGCTAGAGACCTGGCCTCCTCCATCCCTTCGATGAGGAATTTGACGTTCACCGGGAGATCCTACATTAACGATGGGGCAAATCATGCTGCAGGAAAGAGTGGACCCCTTGCCCTTCATGTTTTGAAAACCCAGGATGTGTTTGTGTGTAACATAAATACACTGTACTGTTATACACATTCCCACAAGCTCTGTTTACAATGAAGCGGTTTTAACTCAGGTTGTGAGGGAACCAAGGTAACGGCCAGTGAGGCAGGAAACTCATGTTCGTGACCAAGGATCTGGGAAGGGCGTTCCTAAAGAAAAGGCCGTGTCCACAATACAGGGTTCTGCTTGGCCCTGCAGAGAGGCCCTATCCTTCCTCTCCCCAAGAGGACTTTTTCCAGAAGGGTTACTCCATTCCAAGTCTCTTTTCTGTCCTCATAATCCTGAGCATGATAAATGAGAGCTCTTTCCTTTGAAAGGCTGTCTAATGTTTAAGCCTCGGGATAATTTTTATTTCAAGTATCTGTTATTTTTCAGCTATGAGCTCAATCTGCCTTTTAACTTATTCAAAGGCTTTGATCTTGCAGCAAAATGGAACTTGAGGTTTTCTCTAGTTAATATTAGGGCGCCTTTAAAATTTTTACAATGTGCCTTTCCCCCATTTGGTTTTGATCTTTCTGTATCTTTATAATGTATAACTTCATATCTTTGAGAGGCACATGGAGAGGAGAGGTCAATGGCTTTTCCTGGAACACGAGGCAAAATGGGAGAGGTAGGGGTTGAAAAGTGATTCAGTGCAGATGAGGCAGCACACACATACTAATTAGTTGTAATGAGTGAGGCTGACTCACCCCCATGAACAAAGGCAGGCCGAGTGGGGGATTATGTTTGAGAAAGTAAGTGACCTTGGGTCACTTAGCTGGTTAAGGGGATCTGGGGATAAAGATTTGCTCAGTGCATTCCCTGAATATATTTCTAGGTGTCTTAGGAAGTCAAGCTAAAGTTCTGAAATTTTAATATTTGAAAGCTCTTTATTAACATTTAACTAGAAAACAATTGCTAAGGAGCAGTTTAAATGCCTTGGAATTTTCTGGCAAAATGTGATTAATAAAATACAAGTCAGTAGCTATTAAGTGTCAGAGAAGGATGTGAGGCAGCCAGGGCTCTCTGCTCTGTCCCTTAACACCCAAGGGACCGGGGACTAGCCATGCCACCTCTCGAGTGGCAGCCACTTCCTTATGTGAGGCGGGTATTAATACTCTCCCTGCCTCTTGGTGAGATGAGCCAGAGAAGTGCTGTACGTGTAAGTGTGCTGAACAAGACAGGAAGGGGGTGGGAGGGAACCAGGAAGCAAGAAGCCAGTGCTCATAAAGGGCCTGGTACTTGCAGGTACCACAGAAACTTTAAACGTGTAACTTCACTTAATAAACTCAACAAGCCTGGTGATAGAAACGATCAATCATAGATCACAGATGAGGAAAGTGAAGCTTGGAGAGATGAACTGATTTGTCTAAGGGCCATGAGGACTTCATACGTTTTGTTTGTGATTATGTAAGTTTCAGAACTGAAATTTAAAAACCAAACTAGCTTTTTACCTTCATACAGACAGGATGAATGGAGGATTATATATTATGTATGCAGCACTTCCCAGGTGGCACTAGTGGTAAAAAACACGCCTGCCAATGCAGGAGACATAAAAGACTCGGGTTCAATCCCTGGGTGGGGAAGATCCCCTGGAGGAGGGCACGGCAACCCACTCCAGTATTCTTGCCTAGAGAATCCCATGGACAGAGGAGCCTGGAGGGCTACAGTCCCAAGAGTCAGACATGACTGAAGTAGCTTAGCACACATGCATAGAAACTTATAAATATTGTTTTCCTCTTCTTAAGGAAGAAGAACAGAAAAAGAGAGGAGGAAACTGGTGAGGAAGGAAAGATAACGAGACTAAGAAAGTGGAGAGAGAATTGAAGAGAGAGAAAGAAACCAAGGGCTTATTTAGAGGAGCGCATGAACAGCAGGTCAACAGGGCCCGGCCAGAAAGGTGTCCCAATTCATTAAGCTTGTCTTGCTCAGTGAGATAAAGCAGTCAAGTGGAGAGCACTTAAACCCTCTCTTCTGCTTCTTCTCAGGAGAGAGAGTCTCTGGCACCTGATGAAATCACTTCCAGCAAAAAACAGAAGCAAAGCCAGGGCCTGCTCAATGGACAGGATTTGGGAGAAGCAGCATCAAGGATCTCAGCATCGGGCACGGCTGGGCTGCTCCACTTGCCTTGTGTTTCTCCTGTAGACACAGTGCCCAGAGATGGACCCCCCATCCCAGTCCTCCCCAGATAGGATAGCCCACCATTGCCATAGCCACTGTCGTCACCATCACCATCATCTCCACCCTCATCAGCACCATCACCATCACTACCATCACCACCATCATTACTGTCGTCATCAACATCACCATCATCTCCATCATCACCATCATCCTTAATGTCACCATCACCACCATCACCACTATCACTATCACCATCACCATCATTTCCATCACCATCACTACCATCACCACCACCACCACCATCTCCATCACCATCACCATCATCATTACTGTTGTCATCAATGTCACCATCATCTCCATCCTCATCAGCACCATCACCATTCACTACCATCACCACCATCACCACCACCATCATCTCCATCACCATCACCACCATCACCACCATCACCAACACCATCACCATCATCTCCGTCACCACCATCCTTACTGTCATCATCACTATTACCATCACCATCATCCTTACTGTCATCACCACCATCACCATCACCACCATCACCATCATTTCCATCACTATCACCATCATCACCATCATCATTACTGTCATCACCACCATCACCATCCTCTCCATCACCATCACCACCATCACCACCATCACCATCACCACCATCACCATCATCTCTATCACCATCACCATCCCCTCCATCACCATCACCACCATCACCATCATCCTTACTGTCACCATCACCACCATCACCATCATCCTTACTGTCACCATCACCACCATCACTATCACCATCACCATCATTTCCATCACCATCACTACCACCACCACCACCACCACCATCATCTCCATCACCATCACCACCATCACCAACACCATCACCATCATCCTTACTGTCATCATCACTATTACCATAACCATCATCATTACTGTCATCATCACCATCACCATCACCATCACCTCCATCCTCATCACCACCATCACCATCATCTCCATCACTATCACCATCATCACCATCATCATTACTGTTGTCATCAACGTCACCATCATCTCCATCCTCATCAGCACCATCACCATTCACTACCATCACCACCATCACCACCACCATCATCTCCATCACCATCACCACCATCACCTCCATCCTCATCACCACCATCACCATCATCTCTATCACCATCACCATCACCATTACTGTCATCATCAATATCACCATCATCTCCATCGTCATCAGCACTATCACCATCACTACCATCACCACCATCACCACCACCATCATCTCCATCACCATCACCACCATCACCATCATCTCCATCACTATCACCATCATCACCATCATCATTACTGTCATCACCACCATCACCATCCTCTCCATCACTATCACCATCACCATCATCATTACTGTCATCACCACCATCACCATCCTCTCCATCACTATCACCATCACCATCATCATTACTGTCATCACCACCATCACCATCCTCTCCATCACCATCACCACCATCACCATCACCACCATCACCATCATCTCTATCATCATCACCATCACCATCATTATTACTGTCGTCATCAATATCACCATCATCTCCATCCTCATCAGCACCATCACCATCACTACCATCACCACCATCACCACCACCATCATCTCCATCACCATCACCACCATCACCAACACCATCACTATCATCTCCATCACCATCATCCTTACTATCATCACCACTATCACCGTCCTCTCCATCACCATCACCACCATCATCATCATCCTTACTGTCCTATCATCACCACTATCACCATCACTGTCATCATCACCATCACCATCCTCACTCCCAAGTGCAGCCATCACCTACCTCGTCCAGGGCCTTGAATGCGCTCACCGCATTGATCCATGCTAAAACAGGTCCTTTGTTGTCTGTTGTTCCTCGGCCATAAAGTTTTCCTTTAAAAACGGGGGAAGAATTTTCAGAAAAGCATGGATGCCTCTGCCAGGTTGAGTGAGGGAATCAAAAACAAAAGTAGTTTTGCAGATAATTGCTTGAATCAGGTTCTCTCTTTTTCTAGGCAGCAGTCTTGCTCTGAACTCACAAAGTTTTATTTCTTATATACAAATAGTATGCTAGTCAACAAATGTAAGCTAATTGAAAATATACAGAGCCCTTTGGCCTTAATAGTAGTTAGCTATTTTTATCCCAATTCATTGAGAAAGACCTGAGGATTTGTTGGAAAATATCAGGTAACACAGCCTCTCACTCTGAGATTTTACAATTATCAGGGGAAAGAAAAAGTGTGCACAGGTGTCTCCATTAATCTTTCTTCTTCTTGTCTTTATAAAGTATAATTACATTTGATGCTTTTTGAAAAGAAAATATGTGAAACCCAAGAACTCCCATCCTGGGGACTTAATTCACCCAGGGGCACAAAAGCTCATAGTTTCTTTCACAAATGAAAGAAATCAGCTTCATTGAACCAACTGGTGAACCAAGAGCACTGCATTCTGTCCAATCCTCACAGCCACAGGTAAAACCTGGTACCTGAGTCAGAACTGCATCTCAAACCGTTAAGCTCTGTGAGCGATCCTTCACCACTGACCGTCCACCTCCGTCAGCGTGTACGGGTCCGTGAGCCACCCGTCCTCCTGTCTGGCAGGCTGCACATCCATGTGGCCGGAGAAGCACACCGTGGGCTTCTTGGGGTCACTGCCCAGTTCAGCCAGGAGGATGGGAGGTATTGGGAGGGTCTGACCATCAGGCAGCTGCAGAAGGAAAAGGGATAATGTTTATAAAACAAAACAAAACAAAACTAGTTCTTCCAGAAAATTCAAAGACATGGCACTAGGAGTCTATTTCTACCCCTGGTCCTTGGAGAGCCACATTATTTTTATCTGACTCTTAAGGGGGTACCACAAGACACTTCTAATGTAAACATCATGAGAAGTAAAGTACTTCCTCAGATACACACTGACCAAGAGTAAACTTAATTGAACATGCTCTTCCATATGAGAGTTTTCCCAGTGGCTTGGCTATAAAAGAATCAGCCTGCAATTTTGCAGATGCAGGAGATACAGGTGTGATCCTTGGGTTGGGAAGATCCTCCAGAGGAGGAAATGCCAACCCACTTCAGTATTCATGCCTGGAGAATCCCATGGACAGAGGAGCCTGGTGGGCTACAGTCCATGGGGTCACAGAGAGTTGGACACGACTGAGTGACTGAGCACACTCTTCAGTCTAAACTCAGACTCTACCAGCTCTAAGCAGGCTGACGCAGTCCTGGAGACTAGTCTTTGCACACATGTCGGCCCTGAAGCAGGGGACACTGGGAGGTTCGAGTAAAGGTCCATGTGCCCCCATGTGTGTGTGTGTGAGTGAGAGAGAGTGTGTGTGTGAGACTGTGTGTGTGTGTGCGTGACTGTGTGTATGTGTGTGCGTGACTGTGTGAGTGTGTGTGTGTGTGAGAGCGTATGTGTGAGACACTGTGTGTGTGTGCATGACAGAGTGTGTGTGTGTGTGTGACTGTGAGTATGTGTGTGCGTGACTGTGAGTGTGTGTGTGTGAGAGTGTATGTGTGAGACAGTGTGTGTGTGTGCATGACTGTGTGACAGTGTGTGTGTGTGACTGTGAGTATGTGTGTGTGAGATTGTGCATGAGACAGTGTGTGTGTGAGTGTGTGTATGCGTGACTGTGTGTGTGTGTGTGTATATTCGTGACTGTGTGTGTGTGTGAGTGTGTGTGTGCATGACTAGTCTGTGTGTGTGTGTGAGAGTGTGTGTGTGTGTGAGACAGTGTGTGTGTGTGCGTGACTGTGTGTATGTGTGTGCATAACTGTGTGAGTGTGTGTGTGTGTGAGAGTGTATGTGTGAGACACTGTGTGTGTGTGCATGACAGAGTGTGTGTGTGTGTGACTGTGAGTATGTGTGCATGTGACTGTGAGTATGTGTGTGTGAGATTGTGCGTGAGACAGTGTGTGTGTGAGTGTGTGTGTACGTGACTGTGTGTATGTGTGAGTGTGTGTGTGTGAGTGTGTATATGCGTGACTGTGTGTGTGTGAGTGTGTGTGTGCATGACTAGTCTGTGTGTGTGTGTGCATGACTGTGTGTGAGTGTGTGTGTGCGTGACTCTGTGTGTGTGACTGTATGTGTGTGTATGTGTGTGCGTGACTGTGTGTGTGTGTATGAGACAGTGTGTGTTAGTGTGTGTGAGTGTGTGCGTGACTCTGTGTGTATGTGTGTGTGTGACTATGTGTGTGTGTGACTGTGTGTGTGCGTGACTGTGTGTGTGCGTGACTGTGTGTATGAGACACTGTGTGTTTGTGTGTGTGTGAGTGTGTGTGTGCATGACTGTGTGTGTATGTGTGTGTGTGTGACTGTGTGTGTGTGTGCGTGACTGTGTGTGAGTGTGAGTGTGACTGTGTGTATGTGTGTGTGCGCATGACTGTGTGTGAGAGAGTGTGTGTATGAGACAGTGTGTGTGTCCCTGTGTTGGTCGTGTCTGACTCTTTGTGACTCCATGGACTGTAGTCCGCCAGGCTCCTCTGTCCATGGGATTCTCCAGACAAGGACACAGGAGCCGGTCACCATGCCCTCCTCCTGCGACCTTCCCCCGAGAGGCAGCAGGGAACCTTGATTCTGAGAGGTGGTTCCTTTAAAGAGGCATTTGCGCTTAAGGGAGAGGGCCCTTGGGAGAAACGCAAGGCACGTGAAGGACGTGAACAATACAGGTGAGGGGCTTTCACGTGCCCCCTTCACCTGTCCCATTTGCCCCTCTGTCCGGCAGGACAGGAAGTCAGTGCCAAAGCCTCACTGGGACCAGAGACGGTGGGGCAGGCGGGGACACTAGGAAGCCCTGGGGAGCCCAGGGAAGCCCCGTCCTGGCCCCAGGAAGGGGAGCCTGGCCGAGGCGGGAGGCGGGGGCACCAGCACCTGATGAAAGCCCGTGTCCACCGAGGCCAAGCGGGCTCCCAGGCCCTGGAACCGGTCCGCAGCCAGGCCCACCATCCGGTGCAGCTCTCGTCGCAGGCGGGGCACCGGCTGCACCCAGTTGCTCTCGACGGCCACCCACTCCTTCAGCGTCTGGGGGCAAAGGCGACAGGTGGTTAGCGTGGGGGGTCATTATGTCTGATCCCCTGGGCATGCCTTGCAGGACTCCCGGGTCCCCTCTTCTGACCTGGAGACCCAGCTGGAGGTGAGAACAGGAGCCCGGGGGAAGGACGGAGGGAAGAGCCTGCTTCTAAAGCCTGGACCTGGGCCCCCCAGGCCTCGGCCCCCACGGAAGGGCCGTCCCCGTCACCCGGCTGGCTTCTGAACTGAAAGCCTCTGGCCACCCACTCGAGGACTCGGCTTCCCACGAACACCCCTTGTGGGTCCCTGACTCACCTCTCTCTTCTCTCCCCACTACACTGGACAACACCCCAGGAAAGTTGTGAAAGCTCAACAGGCATTTCCATCAAGTGAACATGCCCCCATGAGGAAGGAGTCCGTGAAGGCCCAGCTCAGGGCCAGCAGCCTGGAGATTCAGCTTAGTACTTTAGTATGAACACGGGGGGTTCAGTCGGTTTGCACAATAATATTCCTGATGTGGGCTGGTTGGTCCAATGAGCAGACACTGACCATGCATCACATGCCAGACACAGTGTTGGGAGCTCAGGGTATTCCTGGTGGTGGATGCGGGTGGGGCGTGCTGGGGTGGGCGGGTATGAGAGCCAGCAGAAGGAGGGGGTGTGCCAGGTGGGACGGTGGGTCCAGCGCCCCCCAACCCCCATGACTTTCTGCTCCCCAGGCCTCCCTCTTCCCCTTGGCCCCCACTAGCCATGTCTCTCCCTACACACACATATGCCCACACCACGTGCAGATGGCCACGTGTCAGGATGAAGCAGAGACTCGTAAAGGAGGCAGTAAAGTACATGGTGCGCGTGGGCTGCAAAACCGACAGCCTTGCCATGAGCTTGACAGGACTGCCTGGACTTACAGCTGCTGTGGCAGCTGGTGATGTAACGGGGACGTTTCAGGCAGGTTTATGGGTGGAGAGGACCTCGGTGAGGGACCCTCTGAAGAAGAGGGGAGGACGGGCCATCTGATGATGGTCCAGGGTAAACATGGACTCGCCAGAGCTTGCTGGTCATCCCTGAACAGACAGACCTAGAGCAAATGTGCTGGGAATGCCCCCTTTCAGGAGGAACGGCCGGGAGGGATCTCTTACCTAAATCTAACCAACATTGACTATTTTAATTCAGTGAGGAGCCACAAGCATTTTAAATGGAATTAAGTTGTCAGGAAAAGGATGAGATGGTTAGATAGCATCGCTGACTCAATGGACATGAACTTGAGCAAACTCCAAGAGACAGTGGAGAACAGGGAAGCCTGGCAGGCTACAGTTCATGGGGTCACAAAGAATCGGACACGACCTAGTGACTGAACAACAAGTTGTCAGGCAAAAAAGAAAAAAAAAATCCACATCTCCCAGCAAATTCTCCCAGCTTCCCAAAGTGCACTGTCCAAGTGTTCGGCGCCTGTCGGGTCTCTTACCTGCACAAATTCATCTTGATGGAGTTCAATGTACTGCAAGACTTTCTCTAGCGGCCCAGGGGGTGGGGTGGATGTGGAGAACATGCCTCCGACCAGCAGCAGCAGGAAAGCAAGGAGAGACGCCGCCTGCAAGTGGGCGACAGCAGGGGGACCATTTAAAATAAGGGCAAGGCTTAGGACTTTCCATCTCTAAAGTACTTCAATAAAGTTAATGTTATCCGACACAGCTGCTCTCCGTCTTTTGAACTGAAATAACACAAGGGAATAGAACAGGAGATGTATTTTTTTGCTACATCTTTTCCCAAACACTTCCTTTGCAATGCTAGAGAATTTTAATAAGACAGAAACCAAGTTAACAAACTTGTCTTTAAGCAAGGTTCTTCTGTTCTTTTCCTAATACAATCTTTCCTATGGGTTCAGGGGCTTCCTGCATGTGGTGCTAGTGGTAAAGAACCTGCCTGCCAATGCAGAAGATGTAAGAGGGGGATTTGATCCCTGGGTCAGGAAGATCCCCTGGAGGAGGGCACAGCAACCCACTCCAGTATTCTTGCCTGGAGAATCCCATGGACAGAGGAGCCTGGCAGGCTGCAGTCTGTGGGGTCACAAAAGAGTCAGACAGTTGTCTGAAGTGGCAGCACACACATGGGGTCACTTCCTGAAAAGTTAAATCAGCTTCCTACATCCCAGGTGTCAAGGACAGTGTTTATAGGAGAGAAAGGTGTGAGTTAATAATATTAATTTAAAAATAAAACAGCAACAAAATTTATTTGGGTGATTATTCACTCTACTAGAAGGAATATTTTGTAAGGACAGACTAAAATCCTGTGCAGTGTTGTAGGGCTTCGTGCCATCCACTCCTGAGGTCAGAATACTCTAAGAAGCTTTACAAGATTTGATCTGATAAATAACATGGCAGGACTGGCAAGCATGTAGACACTGCTGGCCACGGTCTCTGCCTGGGAGCCCCCGACCCACGGTCTTCGTTTGTCTGAGACCCCATTACCCCCACCCCCCATGAGCCCCTGGTCTTCCTTCTACCCCCAAAGAAGATTCCAGGCTAGGGGCAGAGCAGAAAAAAACAGGTGCAGAACTGAGTAGAGCTTCCAGGTTGAGAATGAAGCTAATTATCTTCCTCCTCTTCCTTCCGGATTGGTTCTGTACAGTTTTGAAATAGCTTTTATTTTTCAGAAACATCTTAGGTTCAGGCTGCTTCTTCCCTTGGCCTCCAATTCCAGGCCCCCAGAGAGTGCAGGTGAGGACTTGAGTCTTGAAGATAGAGAACTACTGCAACTCAACAATAAAAGACAAATTAACCTAATTTTTTAAATGGGCAAAAGATTTGACTAGATACTTCTCCTAAGAGAATGCACAAATGGCCCACTAGCTCGTGAAAAGATGCCCGACATCATTGCCACCAGGAAACTCAGATCTAACCACAATGAGGCAACAATTCACACCACTCAGGATGTTTAAAACCAACAAGTCAGATGACCACAAGGGCTGGAGAGGGTGTGGGAAAACCGGAAGCCTCGTGCATGGTTGGTGGGGATGTAAGGTGGCATAAGTGCATTGGGAAGCAGTCTGGCAGTATCCTTCGGCGGTTCAACAGAGCTGCCGTACGACTCAGCAGTTTCACTCCTAGCTGCACGCCCAAGAAGGATGAAAACACACGTCCACCGGAAAACTTGTACATGTTCACTGCAGCATTATTTGAATCAGTCAAAGGTGGAGACAAAAACCCAAACGACCAGCAATGAATGACTGTACAGACAAAATGTGGTGGAGACACACAACAGAATATTACTCAGCCATGAAGACCGATGAGGTTTTGACATGTGCTACAATGTGCGAGAGCCGGAAGAAACAAAAGGCTACACTTTGCATTTGTCCAATTACATGAAATGTCCAGAATAGGTAAAAACGGAGACAAGAGTAGGTTGGTGGTGGCCTAGGGCTGGGAGGACTGGGGGTGGGGGGTGTCGGGGGGGAAGGGGCTTAGCCTGCTCATGAGCTGGGGGATCTTCTCCAGCGATGAGAATGCTCTATAGTTGACTGTGACAGTGACTGATCAATCGTGAATTCATGAAAGACCACTGAACTGCACACTGTGAGTGGGCAGACTGCGAGGGAAATGAGTCATATTGCAATACAGTTGTCATCAAGATAATAATCAGGAATGTAAGCACCCATTCCACAATAGAAATGTGTTACTGAGTATGAGAAATGTGTACAGAGGAAGCCGCGGAGAGGGTCCAGTGGGTGTCGCGGTGAGCTGCGCTTCTCCGCGGGCGCACGGCGGTTTGGCCCGGCAGACGGCGCTGCGGAGCCCCGGCCTCGCCTCTGCTCCCAGCTCACCCGACGGGAGCGAGTCTCCAGGCGGCTCGGGGTCCCGCGTCGGGGGCGGGCAGAGCCTGGAGCCGGGGCTGCGGGGGAAGGTGAGGACGCGCAGGAGGCCAGCTTCTACGGCTGAGCCATCTACATGAACGGCTGAACTGTTATTTTTATTTTTCATCCAGTTTCCATTACAAAAAAATTATTTGCTGCTCCTCTTCAGTGAAATGTGCAAGGAAAATCTGAAAAGGAAAAGGAAGCCACGGGAGAGGAAGGGGAAAACCTCGATGGTGACGCCCAGAGCAGTTGCAGAGGGAGGGGCGTGGAGGACTGGCTTGTTCCCAGACGGTCCTGCGCGCAGGGCCTGCACCCTCAGCCCTCACAGGGGCGCGTTTTCCTGTCGTCTGCCCTTTCCGTTTCCGTTTGCCTCCCCTTTCCACTTGCCATCAGGCCCACGGAGGCCGGCCCTGGGCGCTCATCTCGCCTTTAGGACCCCGGGTGAATCTCTCCTCCTGAGCCTCGTGTCATAGTCATGCTTGACCTGAACCAGCGAGTCACCCATAAAACCCTGGGCCTGAGAGAGGGCAGCCCTGGCCTGGCCTTGGCGGAAAGGAGACCCTGGAGAGGAGAAGGTGCGGGCGGGGGGTCCGGGAGCGGAGCCGATGCCCAGGCCCTAGTGTCCTCCCCGTGGGGCCGGCCCTGGGCTGCTCTGCAGGCTCCTGGAAACTCCAGCTGGGTGTTCTGAGACGGGACCAGAGTTCCTGGAGCCCCTGGGCTGCGTCCATTTTAACCTAAGGACTTCCGACCTCTTGAAGTCCCGGCCACACCTCTGTGGTGACCATTCTCCACCCATCAACCGAGCTTCACTTCCTCAAAGCCTCTCCCCACCATGGACACAGGCCTCAGGGGTCTCTCTGCTCTCTCCTGGCTCCAGTCAACAACTGGGAAGAAAGATGAACCATGTGCTTCGCAGACAGTGGCTTTGGAATGCTCCTGGGCTGCCTCAACCAATGTCGCTTCTCTATGTCCTGCCAGGAAAACAGCAGGCATTTCAGGAGGAGGCTGGGTTGTCCTTAGCTTCTCGTGTTGAGCAGCACAAAGAATAGAAAATGAAAGCATTCTCGCCTCCCACTTCCCCCCACACAGCTGGGGACCGAGGATGGCTTTCCTGTGTACACACGACAGCCCATTAGACAAACCCTTTTCTGCCCATAAGCAACTTTAGTGCCAGGGTTCACCTGGATGCCCAGAATGCTACTTACCAAGTCTTTCAGAGTCCCACATGATGTTTTACAACTATCGCTCTTCCTGTGTCTGCTTTGGTGAATTTTATGATACAGAAAAAATGCTTTATTAGCCTAGTTTAATCTCATCATGAGAGAATTAAAAAATAAAAATTCCAAACCAAAAAAGCCAGCTTTGCTGGATTCTGTTCATTCCCCTGCAGGCTCTGAACTGAGCCAAGGACTCCTGCAGAGATGAGCCAGTTCAGCAAGCCTGTGAGGGCGGGGCTTTCAAGGGGGCAGCCTGGACAAGGCTCTGGGCCAAGGAGCAGTTTCAAGGATCAGGCCTCCCCAGGAAGTCCCAGGAACCGCCAGTTTCTCCTCCTTCTCATGGCTGAGTTTCAGCCCAGAGGAGAGCTTGTTGTTGGTGTTCAGTAGTCGGTGTTCAGTTGGTGCTCAGTCGTGTCCGATTCTTTGAGACCCCATGGATTGTAGCACTCCAGGCTTCCCTGTCCTTCACTGTATCCTGCAGTTTGCTCAAATCCATGTCCATCGAGTCGGTGATGCCATCCAACCATCTCATTCTCTATTGTCCCCTTCTCCTCCTGTCTTCAATCTTTCCCAGCATGAGGGTCTTTTCCAAGGAGTCAGTTCTTCGCATCAGGTGGCCAAAGTATTGGAGTTTCAGCTTCAGCATCAGTCCTTCCAGTGAATGTTCAGGAGAGCTCAGCTGAACCTCATTCCCAGACCCAGAGGTGATGCTTTACACTGCACGCAGGCAGTTGCGATACCAGCACTGGGGTCACCTCTTGGTGGGGATCAAGCCAAAAATAACACACCAGTCAAAGGACAGGAGGAGGAAGGTTTATCACTTGCAACAAATAAGGAGAACACTTAAGGGATCTTTCTCAAAGTAGTGTTGCCCGGAACGGAGAATACTTGGGGACTTTTAAGCTAAGGGTGCGTGCATCTTAATGAAGGGGCTGAAACAGAGAAGAATTCAGCAGAGAACTGGGGCAAAGGTAGTTGATAGATGATTGAAGTCATGAGGGTTAGAAAAGGTCAATATTGTCATCCCTCAGATTCCAGTTGGTCTGGAGGTGGAGCACTTTGGGCTAATCTGTACCACTGAAGCAGACCTGGGGGTCTTTACAGCTGACTCCTTGTCTTTGCTGTTGTTCTGCCTCTCGCCTGATGACGATCATTTGTTCTCACAAGATCATGAATTACTGAGAGCGTGGTGGCCAAGCTTAGATCCCAAAATGACTCGGGCAAAAATGGCTTCTTTTCTGTCAAAAATCCTCGTTGGATTCTTTTCCTTCGGGACCCCTACCCTATAGGCCCACATTACTTCCCCGCAGTTTTCTTGACTCTTTTTCTGGGACTTCTACTACAGCTGGAGTCTCTCATATCTCATCTGCCCTCTAGCTGTCTTCGATCTTCTGTTTTCTATCCTGTTATCCCTTTGCCCCACTTGCCGGGTGAATGCCTCAGTCCCACTGTCCAGCTCATTCATTCTCCTTGGTCAGC